TTTTTTTTTTTGTCATACTTTAATCGCTCAGTTTTAGCCTCATATCGTGAGTTTATACTAAACATGATCATCTTTTCAGTCGTCTTTTGATCCCTACACAGTCATTACTGGTTAATTACTTGAAGGTTATATCTCCTCACTTGCCTCCTTTCCAACAATACAGCTATCATAATTAGGGGCACTTAGACTTCAGGAAGTCGGGTCCACGGAATATTTCGCTCGAGGACTCACGGAAAGATAAGGACAACTTATTACCACCCGGGAGCTCGGGACGCTGGGATTCGCTCTTCCAGGGCATTGAGGCGAGTATAGTCAAGACACTCCGCATAGTCCCTACACTTCCCTCTGGAAGGTGAGACTACGGATGTTTTTCTCCCCTGGGCATTCTGGGAAATGTGGTCCAGACGTTCCGTGGAGTCGCGGGCGCTTCCGCTCCGCCGGTGGATCGAGGGACTTCTGGGAAGTGCGGTCCAGACGTTCCGCGGAGTCGCGGGCGCTTCCGCTCGGCCGGTGGACCGAGGGACTTCTGGGAATTGCGGTCCAGACGTTCTGTGGAGTCGCGGGCACTTCCGCGTCCAGAGTGTGACCGTGTTTTGTGTGGTGGTTTCGCTCAGTTCCGCGTCTCGCGGGCCCACCTGAATTTCCTGGACCGAGGCGTGCGAGCCTCAACGGCCCCGCGCTCGATTTACAGGCGAAGAAGCCTCGGCGGAGAGCGGAGGTTTGCGACCCCCACGGCGGAGTCTTCTTGTGTCTGGGGCTGTCCTCGCGTCCCCGGATTTGGGATGGGCTCCAGTCGCGTTTGGCCTGGTTTGAGGGTGTCCGGGGCTTTCAACTCGTTCAGTCCGCGTCCCTGCATCCCACGCGCGCGGCCAGTTTCTCGCGGTTTAACGTTTGGGAGTTAATCTTCCGTGGCTTCTCGTTGCTGTTCGTTAAAAGGGGGCTATTAAAACCATCCTAATAGCATCCTGATAGAATTGTTTGGGGACTTGAAGGAGGTAGTACAAATGAAAGCCGTAAAACAGTTCCTGTCACGTGGTGAATGGTGATCTTATGTTACTGTTAATTTGCCACGAAGCGGTCAGGTCCCCGGGCTGGGGTCAGAGCGCCCTGGCTCTTCTCTCTGACTCCTGCAGGACTCTGGATGATCCCGGACGCCTTCTGCCCTCTTTTTTTGGGAAGGGGAGGGTTCTTTCCACCTTGCAGGGAGGGAGGAGAGCATTTAACTATTTTTTTGAGGACCTTTTATCGAGGACGGCGACACGATCGGGGTATTTCACAGCATTCTTTTCTTTCTCCAGCCCGACTTCTCAAAAAGGACTGCACGGAGGTAGAGAGATTGACTCCTTGTCTACTGACAGCTAAGCTCCACGTGAGTTAGACTTGGCATTTTTCTGAGAATATGTAGGATGTGTACTCTGGCATGAGAATTGAAAATAATTAAGGCTTAATTGCTAACTTCAATTCTAAGGGCTTTATACAAATAAATACGTTTATGCCACACCATGGCTCTATGGAGAGGTGTTGCGTTTTTCCTGTTTTAAGAATGAGAAGATTGAGACACAAGGAGTATAAATTATTTGGCCGTAGTCACCCAACTAGTAAGAGGCGGAGCTGGGTGGGAACGTAGACAGGCTGGTCCTGGAGGCTGACTTCATAACCTTTTGAATACATTCTCACTGAGCTATTGCGACTACCTGGAATCAGGTGGGAAAAGTTAGGACTTGATTGTACCTTGAGAGCAAGGTACATCGGCTTGTACTTTTCTGAGTTTTTTAAAACTTTGTCAGCTGTTTTGTTTCACCTATTACAAATATTTCATATTCTCATAGAACCACATTATTGTGGAACATTGAGAAATTACAGAAATATGACAAGAAAAGAATTTAATTATCCGTGAATCCAGGGTGTAAGGGTAGTAGCTGTTACACTTGTGTTCTTTAAGTGGTTCTTAGGGTATGTTTTTACATTTATTAATTTATAAATGTTTTACAAAATTTATATCATACTCTCTTTTAAGTTTTTCCCTTTTTCTCTTTTACTGATTGACTGATTATTTTTTGGCGGCTGGCAGGTAAGGGGCTCCAAACCCTTGACCATCTCTCTTAAGCTTGTGTTACAAGGCACGCTCTAACCAGCTGAGCTTAACGGGCCTGCCCCCCTTTTTCTGTTTCAATTGTGGAAATTTCTAAACACTGCCAAGAGAGAATAAACTAGTGAACTGCCATATTACGTCATGCTCATCCTTTGTCTCATTATTATTCATTCCCATGATTGTTTTCTGATATTAAAATTTTTTTATTTTCATATAATTTCAAACCTATAGAAAATTGGCAAAAGAATTTTTGTGTACTTTTTACCTATATTTACTAATTGTTTACATTTTATTTATTTGCTATGT